GCATTATTTACGTTCGTACCTGGTGCAATGTAGCCATAAGTTCCAGCAAGGGCAGTCCAATTAGAAGAGTCCGGATTTAGAAGCTTGGCAGTGCCGAAATCCGACACACGAGCTTCAAATTCCGAATCCAACAAAACATTATTGCTCGAAATGTCTCGGTGAACAATAGGCGGAGAGCAGCCATGGTGCATGTAAGCCAAGGCATGAGCCACACCTCTCACAATATTCACTCTCTTTTTCCAACCAACTTCTTTGGCCTCCTCTTCTTCTCTCAATATTCTCGCCAAGCTTCCCCTTGCCACATACTCGTACACCAAAAACGAGTGTCGTTCGTGCGAGCAGAAACCATAAAGCTTGACAATGTTTCGGTGTCGTATCTCCAGCAACGCCCTTATTTCGTTCAAGAACTCATTCGGAAGTCTCCTGTGACCTTCTTCACGCGGCGGGTGTAGTTTCTTCACCGCCACATTAAAACTCATGAAGTTTGGTAGTTCCAGATTCGCTTTATACACGCTTCCATATCCTCCCTCTCCGATGCAAAATACGGGATTGAAATCGTCGGTCGCTCTTATGATTTCTTCATACATTGCTCTTCCGTCGAAATTGAGCACCGAAAAGAAGACGGTATGATTCTCTTGCGTGTCATGATCTTCTTGTACTTCCCTTCGATCTCTTTCTCTCTTTCTTCTTCTCGCAACAATAATGGCGGTTAATCCAATGAGCACAAACAAGGCTATAAGCCCTCCTAGAACAGGAACAATGATAAGAAAAGTGAATTTCAGGTGGTTCTTTCTCGAGACATTTTTGCAAGGTTTGAGCCCTCCAAAGCTTCCACACAATCCTATATTCCCTTCTAGCCCTTCTAGTCCTTCTCCAGAAGCTTCTCGAAATGCCGCGCTGTTGGGAACCGGGCCATCGAGCTGGTTATAGGATATGTCTATATGTAACAAGCCAAGCATGTTAGCAAAACTTGGTGGGATCGAACCGGACAGACGATTGTGGGAGAGATTAAGCGTCTCCAAGCTTTGCATCTTGCTCATTTGCCATGGTATCTCTCCACTAAGCAAGTTGTAGCTCAAATCTAGCTGGGACAGACGAACCAAATTCCCGAGGCGTAAGGGAATTTCTTGGCTGAATCTGTTGTTGCTCAAATTCAAATAATTCACGTCCAATAAATTATTCCAAAGAACTCTTGAAATTGATCCGTTCAGCCTGTTGGACGACAAATCAAGGTAATTGAGCATGGTCAAAGATCCAAGCTCCATTGGAATTCCGCCAAAGAGTTTATTGTTGCCTAGCGTCAGATTCAGCAAAGAAGTCAAGAATCGCAACTCTTTTGGAATTACACCAACAAGATGATTTGAAGACAGGTCAAGTTTTCGGAGCTGACTTGTAAACCCGATCTCAAGCGGGATTTCGCCACTCAGATCGTTTCCCGCTAACTGAAGAGCTTTTAGATTTGTGCATTGTTGCCAACTACGCGAGATTTCGCCGTGGAATTTGTTGTGGCTTAGATCAATGTACTCCAAGTTTGGATAGACGCCAAAATCTTCAGATACATTGCCCGTTAGTCGGTTTCCTTCAAGACGAACTCTCAACAAGCTCGTGCAGTTTCTCAAGCTTTTGGGGATTGGACCGAAGAAATCGTTGTCGTAGGCTATGAGTTTCTTGAGCTGTCCGCTTCCGCAAACGTTTTGGGGCAAATAACCGGTGAATCGGTTTGTGTCCAACTGGAGTACAGTCAGATTGGCGAGGTTTCCTATCCCTTGAGGGACGGAACCTGAAAATTTGTTCTCACGGAGACATAAAACTTTCAAGTTGGTCAGCTCTCCAAGTGAGGTGGGGACCGTACCGTTGAGCTTATTTACGCTTAGCTCCAGGACCTCAAGTGAATTGAGCTTTCCTAACTCTTCAGGAATTGGGCCTGAAAGGCTGTTGTAGGAGAGGCCAAGAAAATTGAGGCTTCTTAGATCTCCTAGAGATGGAGGGATTGAGCCAGAAAACTGGTTTTTTTCCAGGTCTACTTTAAGGAGAGATGTCATGTTTCCTATTTCCGAGGGAAATGGACCGTTAAACTGATTTTCGACAAGGTACAAGGCCTTGAGATTTTTCAGATTAACAATTTCTGGTGGGATTTTTCCTGACATGTTATTATAGGAAAGATCAAGGTAGGTTAGTTTAGAGAGGGTACTGATTTGGGGTGGGATGGTACTGAAGATCTTGTTATTGCTGAGATTGAAATATGTGAGATTAGGAAGGGACAGAAATGGAAATTGGTGGAGAGTGCCTTGTAAACTAGAATTGGAAAGGTTTATACTTGTGACACTTTTGGCAGTGTTACAAGAAATACCAAACCAATTGCAAGGGGCTGTTTTGGGATGCAATTTGAGAGAGACGTTGGTGGATTTGTAAGCCCATGTGGAAATAAGAGACTTGTTTGATTCTCTCAGGCTGTCTTTCCATTTGAGTAGAGCATCTGCTTCTTTAGAAGAAGAAGCAAAAGCAACGTTTATGGATAAAACCAAATAAACACACAATACAATGGAAGCTGGAAAGCCTACTAATTTCTCTATGGTTGGATTTCCCATGGTTTGTGTTTTTTTAAGTAATATTAATCGGTGAAGGCTTTGTTAATCACAATTGCAAGTATATATATATATATATATATATACACATACATGAACGAGTTGTAAGTAATATTTTTCTTTCCATGAATCATGGGAAAGTTCGTCTAAGACTTTCAGACTTGAAAAGCCTACCCACCTCATTCGTCTGAGACTTTCAGACTTGAATAGCAGACCTCTTTTATTCCTACTTAATTTTCTCATATTCGTTTTCTTGAAGGAATTGTTTAATAGATGGTGAAGGTTTGAAGGTTGAAGAACTTTCAGTGGCCAATGAGAGGAAGATTTCCTTGTTAATTTCCCAATGGCTAGCTAACTATTATACAAATGTGGATGAAAATTGACATTTTTTTTTCACCTATGGTCTTGAAGAATATCCACATTTCTCATTTTAGCCCCAAACTTCAATTTTAAAGGTGTTAAATATGCAATTTTAATTCCTCCATTAATAAACTCTTTGTTTTCGTAAAGCATGTAACAAGAGAATTGCACATGAGTGGTTGTAGAGGAATAAATTACTGGTAAAAAGGAACAAGCAGATCAGAAAAGAAAATGAAATTATGAAAAGAAAAACATATTTTTATGGTGCAATCTAATTTTTTATCTAGGTTTGATTTTTCTTCTTCTTACATACATATATATATATATATATATATTCAATCAGCTTCTTTTTTATCATTTTATTTCTCTTAAAATCCTAACAGGTCATCTGATGGAAAATAGTAATGGAATGGTTAAAAATGTGTGTTAGAAATGACAAAGTATTTAGAACTCTCAAGTGAATCTTAATGGGCTAAAGCGAGATAAGTAGATATTTTTAGGGACATGAGTGAAAATAATTATTTTTTACCCGGTCTTATTTTTTCCTAATTAATTGCCAATTTGCTCTCTTGCGACCTGGTCTTGAGTGTGTGTGTGTGTGTGGTTTTTTTTTTTTGTTTTGTGGGAACCTACTACCTAGTCAGCTTATTCGTGATTCAAATCTTTTTCAATTAAAAGCTTTTAGCAAACTACTCATAACACGGTCAACTCAAGATTTGGGCTACGCAATCTCAAAAGTTAATATTTTCCAAGTACTAGTAATTAATATCTTTTCTGGATCGTATACATACATTCGTGGTGATTCTTCAAACATGCTATTTGATTCGATTCGGAAGTCATAGGTCAATCTATCATATGTGGAGCGGGAAGGACTTCAAAATTGATTGCCAAACAAGCAAGTCTTGGTTGAAAAACAAGATTTTTAAACGGTAACGACGGAAGAGCTAGCATGAATAATTTTCAAGTATTTGAACGATGGGAATTGCTTAAGTATTTCGTATTTCCGGGGAAAACTGGTTTAATAGACTCAATTGTAAGAAAATAATAGAACACTTAAAAATGACAAAATAATAATAGAACTAGCGTATCTTCTTATACACGCAAATTAACAAAGGTCAATTTTCTACTGTGAGTATTTTTGTTTTACTTTTTGTTTTTGTTTTTTGTGTTTTTTTTTTTTAAGTCAAAAGAGTTTAGAGTGTGTTTGACTGAGTTGGTTTTGAACTTAATGTGATGTTTAATTACCTATTCAAAAACCAGTTTTTTAGAACTTATGGGCTCTCTTAAATTCACATATGGATTTGAACCTATTTCTATCTTGTTTAGTATATCATTTATCCTAGCTATAGGGTCAAAACTGTTTCTCTCATTGGTTTAGTGAAATTTTGTAAAAACCAAACTTGTGTTAGTAGCTATCACTATTGAAGACTTGCGTTTAGTACGTGGATTCTAGAATCAGAGTTCATGATTTTAATTTTAATCTTTATTTGTTTATAAAAAGTAAAAAATGATTCTTAAAAGTCAGTATTTAGTTTGAATTGTTCTAATTCAAAGTTTAGACTCTAATGTAATGTTTTAAACATAAACCACCCCAAAAAATAAAATCAACTCTCTCTCGGTGTTGAATGGTTCAAACTCTTAATTCTGATTCTATTTTCAAAATTATAATTTAGACCATAAATTCAAATCATAAATCATGATTCTCATTTTAAAATTCAAACTACCATAATTTAGATTCTCATATCAAACACAACCTTAATAGAATTCGGAGACTCTGTCTTATTAGGCAACATATTGGTAGGACACGGCATGGTTCGTGAAATTGGCTTTGACTTTATAATCCAATGGTGTAAGATTAAGGTTCACTATTGATAAAGTGTACTGGCCTACAGAGAATTTTCTCTTTGAGTTAGACTAATTTACAAGGCTCCTGCCAAAGAAAAAAAAAATCAAAAGAAAAATGAAACTTTACCGTCTACAGTATTACCCGAGAACTCTTGATCTTTGTTTTCATCCTCGGCGAACCTCCATTCACTGTTGTCTGGGTTCATGCTTCATTTGAAACCAAGCTCAGGAAAAAGATAATAATTCTTTTATATTAGCTATTTGATTAAAAATTTAATTTAACGTTTTTCTGGCAAGAAAAAAAAAATCTTTGTTGATCACTGCTCATTGCTGTCGGTGGAGCCGTAGTGGAGTGAATTTCTGGAAATATTTTGTGCTCTTTATGTTGTTGGAGGTGAAGGATGGATGAAGTCTAACTTCTTGTTAAGAAGAAGAACCTTATTTTTGACTTTAGGATAAAGAGAGCTTTTTTAATTTCTGGAAATTTCTGGGAATATTTTGTGTTCTTGAGCTTTTTAGAGAGAGTGAGAGAGAGAATGGAGAAAGAAGGAAGAGAGAAGAGAGAGAAAGAGGAGGGAGAGATTCTCAGAGAAAGAACGAAATTTTTTTTAGATTTTTAATTAATTTCTTTTGGCTAACATTTTGCAGATACGCGCAAAGAAAGAGAAAGAAACAAAAATTAGAGAGATAAAGACAAATACGTGGGACCTATCATTAATTTTGATTAGTAATGGCCCCCTCCAGTTCCATCCGTGCTACCCAAACAGCTGTAAGAAAATGACACGGTCTTCTTATCCGCAAAATTTTAATCGGGCGCTTTTTAAAACTTGACCTACCGATTTGAGAAAAAAAAAAAAAAACCCTACCTTACTGTTTACGCTGCCCTCTTATTATGTACATAACATTGAAATTGTTCTTTTATTAGAAATTGTTATTTTAATAGTTGGAGTATTTTTTGATGGTCTCATAATTTGTGAGTGTCTACGTTAAAAATTGAGTAAATTACACTGTTGTACTCGAATCTATTTACTTTTTACATAACACATCATAAACTTTCAATTTTGATAAATTACACCGTAAATTTTAAAATCAATTACAATTTAGGTCAATAGATAACATATGTTATTAAATAAATGGTTTAAAACACGCAATTCGCACATGAAAAATAAATATCATTACTTTTTAAATTATGTCACGTGTAAATCTCATATCTCAAGCTATCAATTAAAAATGCCACTATTTATTATATTTCAATTGTAATTGATTTTAAAATTTGGAGTGCAATTTGTTAATTAATAGTTCGGAGTCCATTATGCAAAAACTGATTTAGGGTGCAGTAATACAATTTACTCTTAAAAATTTTAGGTGCGTCGCAATACAAAACTATTTTTAATTATAAATCAAACTATTAAATAATTAATCTAATAACTAAAATAGTAATTACTATTGATAGGGAAAAATAACGGTTCCAACAATAAGAATTCCCTCAAAAGAAGTATATGTCACCATTTTATTTCCAAAGAGGGAATAAACAAAAAAAGAAGTTAAGAGACAAATGTGTAAAAGCTCTATATCATCTCACTTTATTAGGACGAATTTGCTATCTACTTACAAGCTACATTCAACTCCCACTAGTCACTTTAAACGCATTAAAAAAGAACAAGAGAAAGTTATAAATTAAATTTGTGACTTTGACATTTCGTGTAACGCCTGAAACTGTACATAACTAACTCCCAAGTCCCAACTGCAGCACATCAAGCTTAGGATTTCATGATTAGAGTCGATAGAATCTGCGAAACATCTTTCATGGTAGGCCTAGATTGTGGATTTTCCTGTAAGCACACAACTGCAAGCTTTAAGATATCGATGAGCTGATTCAAAATCTCTTGCGGCGGTGGCGGAAGGCGGTCGTCCAACACATCCTCCAGCATTACGCCTGTCCTCGTCAACGGAGAAGAAAGAGACAACGTAAGATTACCCGGACGCTGTCCTTTAATCATTTCTACTGCCAACACTCCAAAGCTATACACATCACACTTTTCAGTAACCTTCATTGTATACGCGAACTCTGCAATCCAACATTTAAAAAAAAAAGAAAAAAAAAAGTGATCTTTCAATATTCAAAATGCTTATGCGTGTCTGTAAGTACATGTTAAAAGCAATGTGACAAATACCATTAGTACTTAATACAGTCGATACAGAAATTAATCATGCTAATACATTTTCAAAATAATAATAGTAATAATAATAATTGTGTTAATAGAACTAAATTTATTGGTTATGTATCAACGTGGCAGCTTTAAATGTTTGCCATGCCATATATTACTGAAAATTAATATTATTTGGATTTGACTCACATGTCCTCTTATTTTGTTTCTTTTTGTATTCTCCAATAATATCATGACAGGATAATAAAAATGCTATCACTAACATTGATTTGGTATTGATATTATAATTGAAGCGAAATTTTAATTAATATGAAATGCTATTATTGAAGAAACATAAAAGATGGCACGAACAAAAGGCACGAATAAAGAGACACAAGAGTCGAATCCATATTTAGTAGTTTACATGCTAATTGCGTACACGTACCCAAATGTACCAGCAATGGCCGTCCAGTTAGAGGAATCCCGCTCTAAAAGCTTAGCAGTGCCAAAATCCGAAATACAAGCCTCATAGTTAGAGTTTAGCAAAATGTTTTTACTAGAAATATCTTTATGAACAATTGCCGGGAAGGTATCAACGTGCATGTAGGCCAATCCATTAGCTACCCCTCTAATGATATTCACCCTCCTTTTCCAATCCAATTCTTGTGCTTCTCTTTCCTTGCTCAACATCGAATGCAAGCTCCCTTTTCAAGATACTCATAAACCAAGAACGAATGCCTCGCGTGGGAGCAAAATCCATGAAGGTCAATGCACTTATTTCATTCAAGAACTCCTTTTGAAACGTTCGATTGTGCCAAAGATCAAGTTCATGCTTAGATCAAAGTACTCCGGATCAGGGAAGGAAGAGAATCAAAATTCGCGGAGCATACCTTGCAAACCCGATTTTGTGAGGTTTATACCGATAACACTTCCACCAATGTCGCAAGCAATTCCCAGCCAATTGCATGGACTTACTTATGGTTGTAGTTTGTTGGGTTTGAATGGAAGAGTTAAAGGAATTGTTTGATTGGGAATTAGTAGTAGTCCATGAAGTTCGGAGTGATATGAGAATGTGTTGGAGGTTAGATTTCCATCTGAGGAGAGAATCAACTTGATCATTGGAAGTAGAATCACCATTAATAATGGTAGGTACAACAAACAAGATAAAGAGAGCTTATTTTCTCCAAGGTTGAAGTTCCCATTGTGAAACCGTATAGCCTATAGGATGTGAGTATTCAGGGCTTTAATTAGGTTTAGTTAACTCTATATCTTATATGAAAATGGACAGAGACTTTCAATCTATAGTGTCCTCATTTTCTTATTGTTTCACATTCCATGTCAAGCGTCACACATGGCATGAGAATTGCCACTTTCTCATTTGATTCATCCCACGGTTTGGTCATTTTCGTCGAATCCTACAACTGATAAATAATTTTCCAATAATAAGTGAGATCTTTTCATTATATAATACAATGTAAGTTACCAAATTAGCCATAAGGGGCTTCACTTCAATTGTTCGTGTTGAGCAGAAAACCACTAGTCAAAATGTGGTAAATTTGTACTTTAATGTGGCTTGTGACGAATTGGGAAAACTTGATGAGATCTAACATGCGGAATTAGAAAAGTAGGGATTACTCTCTACCGTGGACTTAGACTTCAAGCTATATTTCTAGAGCAAGTTAATGAGCTACAAAAGAACCTATATGTATGTACAAAACTACAAACTAAAAGAAGACTTTATGGAGTTGAATTTGGAAACTTCGATTTAGTTTATGTAGACCATCTCTAATACAAAGTCTAATGTTAGTTATATGTTTAACATTAAGAACTATGATATGGTATGTGATTTTCATTTGTGATTCAATGCATAATACTATTTCAAATGCTAAATTTACCTTTTTCATGATTATTAAGCTTTAAAAATTCGTCAAAGTAAATTTTTATTTTTAAAATAATTAGAAAATATAAAAGTTATAATGATTATATGAAAAAATAAATATTTTAACCAATAAAAATCAAGTATTAAATTTGTCATATGCTATATTTAGTGAAAATTTTGTCACAAGTATATGACACATTTAGCACAATAAATATTATTATATTTAGAGTGTCTTTTGTATTTAAACGTTAAATTTATAATTAAAATATTAATTATAACATTATTTTAGAGACGCTCTTATACGTTTGTATACACGACCGACTCAACGTTTCTACTTTTCAATTCACTTTTATTACTCGTTATAGTTACGCTTTTCATGATAGCCTAGACTTCTTTGTATATATATTTATATAAATGGGTAATAAAAAAATAACGTTAGCTGGAGATAACTAGTGAGGACAAAGTGTCAACGTTGGCTAGAGATGTGAGTGGTTGTGGTCCTTGCAGCATATTGTATACAGAGAACAAAAATGGGTGAGTTTTTTTATATAAATGGGTAATAAAAAAATAACGTTAGCTGGAGATAACTAGTGAGGACAAAGTGTCAACGTTGGCTAGAGATGTGAGTGGTTGTGGTCCTTGCAGCATATTGTATACAGAGAACAAAAATGGGTGAGAAGATTTGACCTCTTCAACTAGAATTTTTTGACATTGAAATAAATCTTTTCAAACTTGTTATTTGTAATGATCTTCGAACTCTTGGTTAGAAATAAGGGTCTTCTTTCTATGGTAGTGTAAATTTTTAACCGTTAAATCTAATTAAAATCACATCAAAATAATAATATATATATAATAGACAGTTTTCAACATCGATTTGATGGCTTAAAATAGAGACCTACCCATAGTTTACTTTTCAAACCCTATTATGGAAATCTTCTAGGAATAATACTTGCAAAAGTATGACACTTGCAATTTTCAAACAGTAGAAGTCTCATGTTAGGATCACACAAACTTATTTTAAATATTGGGTTACCAATGAATTAATCAAATGAATGTCTTTAATAAAGTGCGTACATTAACATTAGGTTGATAAAACCTGAGAGATAAATTTCATGATTGGTGGAGAGTTGGGATTTTCGTTTAAGCATTCAAATGCGAGCTTTAAGATTCTATCAAGATCACCCTCAGTCTCTGGAGTGGGAAATGGACATTCCTCAACTTGAGGTTTTCCTTATGACCATTTTAAAGACTACTTGATTGTGAAGTTGATAAAGAGAGTATAAGATCACCCGGATGCTTTCCTGCGATTACTTCTATTACTAACACGCCAAAGCTATACACGTCGCCTTTCTCAGTCACCTTCATCGTATAAGCAAATTCTGCCGATAAAGAGTAACTCTCAAAAACAAATCCAATATAAAATTAAAGATTTATTTCAGAAATGCTCCTTAAGTTATATATGTTTATTCAATATGCACTTTAAACTTGAAAATGGTTTATTTCACCTCATGAACTATACAAAATCGTTCAAAACACTCAATTCGCATACAATACTAACAAACTACTTATAATTTTTTACATACCACCAAACTATAGATTTTAAAATAAATTTTCTCCCCAAATTATATATTTTGTGTCACCTTACCCTCTAATTTTCTTGCCTTGATCCGAACTATTGATTTTGTGCCAACGACATTTCTCCCTAAAGTTGACGCAAAATCAATGTTCTCGAGGCATTTATGAAATTATACTAGTTCATATGAGTATTTTGAATGGGAAATTTTGGGATAAATTTCATAGGGGCCTTTATGAAATTTATCCTAAAAATAAGTTCATAATTTTCAAAGAAAACCATGTGTCGACTACATCACATAAATAAAAGAGGAAACCATTAAAATGCTTTTGCAGATGTTATTAACGACACAAAAACATTAAACATGAAGGCATCGTTGATGTTATCAAACCCACATTAGACTATAAAATGGACTCTATCTAGTAGTATAGTACCTGGAGCAACGTATCCAAACGTCCCTGCAAAGGTAGTCTGGTTAGAAGAAGTATTCATCAGAAGCTTTGCAGTGCCAAAATCCGAAATATGACCCTCGTACTCAGGGACGGAGCTAGGCATGGAAATGAGTGGGGGCACAAATGAAGGCAATATTTACAAGCTACAAAACAACAATATAAATATCAAGTAAAACTGAATATATTTTAGTAATAAATTTTATTGAGATCATAAAAAGAAATCACAATAAATAAATAAAAAAGAGGAGATGAATATGGGTTACTAAACACTCATCATATCATCTTCAATCAGGCCCAAACAAAGAAGAAAATACAAAGGCCAAAGATTGAAGGCCCTAATAAATTATAACTCAGTGGGGGTGATGTACATAACCGCATCTCTAAAGTAGTTATAAGGTGTGTCTATATATATATATATATATATATTATAAGGTGTTGTGTGTCTATATATATATATATATATACACGTGCCCCCAGGTCCCATCTGGCTCCGTGCCAACTCGTACTCAGAATCTAGCAGAATGTTTTTGCTTGATATATGTCTCTATGAATAATCGGCAGCGTCGGAATGCATATAGGACAAGGCATCAGCCACGCCCTTAACAATATTCACTCTCTTTGTCCAATCAAATTCCTTGGCCTTCTCTTCCACATTCAATATCTTAGCCAAGCTTCCTCTTTCAACGTACTCGTAAACCAAAAAAGAATGCCTAGAATGCCAACAAAAGCCGTAAAGCTTCACTATGTTTCGGTGCCTTATCTCCGTTAAGGCTCTTATCTCATTCAAGAACTGGTTTTTGTCACGAACCGGATTGTAAAATTTCTTAATACCTACTCACTTAGAGCAAACAGATGGAAGGGTTGCTTTGTAGACGCTTCCAAATCCTCCTTCGCCGACGCAATACTCGGGGTTGAAATCTTCGGTTGCTCTTAGGATTTCCTCGTATAGTGTTCTTCCGTCCAAGTTCAACACTGGAGAGTAAAGATCTTGGTTTTCCATGTTGCTGATTTCCGTTTGTAGAATCTTATTTCTTCTCCATCAGGGGATGGAAATCCCGAATAAAACGACTACAACAACGAGTGCCCCAGTGATGGTAAAAAGAACAAACACAAAAGATGAAACCTTGTTGCCATTTTTTGCAGGGGAAGAGGAATCAAGGCATGGCTGCAATGCTCCAGAGTTTCCACACAAGCCTTTGTTTCTTGCAATGCTTCAGTGGAAGCATCTTGGAAGGCCTTATTTTTTGGGATCGGGCCACGGAGTTCATTGTACGAGATGTCAATGTATTCCAAGCCACGGAGTTCCTAGAAAGACTCTGGAATGGCTCTGGAATGACTCCGGAATGGCTCCAGAGAGACGGTTGTGGGATAGATTCAGTGTTAGCAAGCTCTGCAAGTTACTGAATTCTGTTGGTATCTCTCTTGAGAGATAGTTGTGACTCAGATCTAGCTGAGATAGCTGAACCAACTTGCCCAACTGAACTGGAATTCCGCTGTTCAATTCGTTGTCGCTCAGATTCACGTAGTGCAGCTTCAAAAGATTCCTATACTTGGAATTGAGTGGCTCAATCTATTTGTAGAGAGGTCAAGATAATTGAGGTCGGTCAGAGACCCGAGTTCTTGAGGTATTCCACCAGAGAGTAGGTTATTATTCATAGTGAGCTTCACCAAAGAAGTTAGTCTTCCAAATTCCTTGGGAATCTCCCCAACTAAATGATTGGAAGAAAGATCAAGTACATGTAATTGAGTTGAGTTACCAATCTCTGTTGGTGGGTTTCCACTGATATTGTTCCTAGCAATCTCAAAAGTTCTAAGTTCTAGGGACCTTGCCCAATTATGTGAAATTTCCCCATATAATAGATTGTCGCTGAGGTTTATGTAATCCAAGTTAGGATAGACACCAAAATCTTCAGATATGTTTCCAGTCAATCGGTTTTTGTCGAGGCGAACTCTATGTATTCTTATGCAGTTTCTTAACCCTTTGGGATTGGTCCAATAAGTTGATTGTCATTTGCAGTGAAGTTTTGAAGCAATCCGCCTCGGCAGATGGTTTGTGGCAAATAGCCAGTGATACAGTTTCTTGCCAACCGCAACATAACCAAGTTCCTGAGATTTTCTATCACTCGATGAATGAAACCGGAGAACCCGTTATCACGGATGTACAAAACTTCCAGTTTGCTCAAATTACCAATTGCATCAGGAAGAGAACTGCTCAGTTTGTTATCACTTAATTCTAGCACAACAAGAGATTAAAGTTCCCAATCTTGTCTGGAATGGAGCCAGATAGTTCATTTCGTTGGAGGTGAATAGAGGTAAGGTTTCTGAGGTCCCATAGTGATGTTGGGATTGAACCAGAAAGTTTATTTGTGTGGAGATTAAGATCGTTGAGAGAAAACATGTTTCCTATTTCTCTGGGGATAGAACCAGAAATCTTGTTGTCAAACATATACAACAATGTTAGCTTTCTTAAGTTCCCAAAACTGTGGAATAGGACCTGTGAGACAATCGGTATCAAGGTAAAGTTCAACCAAATTGGAGAGATGTCCTATTTCTAACGAGACAGAAGCAAAAAATGAATTGTTTTCGAGGTGCAAAAAGGCCAGGTTGCTTAGATTTCCCAAAGAAGCAGGAAGAAAGCCACTTAAAGAGTTGCTATAAAGGGAGAGTTTAGTTAGTGACCTTAAAGAACCTATTTCTTGAGGAATTGAGCCGTTTAACCTGTTATCAAACAACATTAACCTCAAGGTCTAAAAGCAAGCAAATTTCAACTGGGAATTTCCCATAAAACTGATTAGTGGACGGGTCCAGATACATAAGTTTGGAGAGATGACCGATTTTAGGCGGGATGGTACCAAAGAGCGAGTTCATGCTAAGATCAAGATATGCAAGATAAGGGAAGGACGAGAACTTGAATTCATGTAGCGTACCTTTTAGACCAGAGCTTGTGAGGTTTATCTTGGTGACACTACCAAAATGGTTACAATGAATTCCGTACCATGTGCATGGACTTGTCATTGTTCCAAGAGTGGTGGAGGTATTAAATGTGTAGTTGGAAAGGTGAGTCTGTTAAATCCGTTTTTGTCAATTTACCGGATATAATTAAAGTCCAACTAAATAGATTATCGAAAGCAGTAAAGAAATAGACGTAGGAAGTTAGTATCGCGGTTCGGTAACCACCTACATCTGTGGGGCTACACCTAGACAATAAACAATCCACTAAGTATTAATGATTACAATCACCAATCATACTTATACACTCAAAGACTTCCTCTTTGACAATGTCGCCACCGTGTCGAATCTACTTGATGGTTTTGTCTAGTAAGCACCACTCGTTTTCAAAAACTGCACGTTGAAATCCCTTCGTCTGGCAGGTCGCTTTCTCCCAAAAGCTTCAAATTCTCTTCCCGAAGAACGATAAATTGTTGAACTCCTTTCAACATTGCAAACGTCTTCTCCCGAAGACTACTACTTCTTCTCTCGAAGAATGATAATGGAAACTTCTCAAACTATTATGCGTGAAACCAAAGAAGCCACATAATGAATTATCTTGAATTCTATTTATAGAACTTCTATTCTTTATCTTCACATGGCACAATCCAAGTCAAATTTAAATTATCTTCATAATTATCTTCACGCTTACTTAAAATCTAAATTATCGCACAATCTGTTCCACGACTTATTGCAACATTATCGGATCTTAAATTTAAAATCCAAACTCAACAATTTTGCTCTGATGATCTATGCTCTTTCTTCACACACATATTTTGCATATTATATTTTATAAAAAACACACAACCTGGAACTTTTATCTTATTGAGACCAAATTTAGTTTTAATTGAATTTTAATTCAATTCAATTTAACCTAAGATTATGTCATCAAATCTTCTTTAAAACTTGAGTCATTTTTATCTTTTAGCAACTTATCTTCTCTAGAACTCATCACTTCATCTTAAAATTCAAATGTTTTGATCAAATAAACTTGCTCAACACGCTATCATCTTCTCAAACCTATTGTTTGAATTTTCTTAAAACCCCATTGTCAAAAATTGCCAATTAAAATCCTATCAGAGTCCATGAAGTAAGAAAAGAAGAGGATGAGTCTTGAAGATTGTTTTTCCATTGGAGAAGAGCTTCGGCTTCCTCGATAGAAGCGAAGGCAAAACCAACTTCGGGTATGGCAATGAAAAAAATATGCAGGACAAAGGAGAAAAGAAAAGGTGTTTCGGCAATGGTAAGTAATTCCATGTTGTTTGTAAGATGTGATCCTTTGGGAATTTAAGTATGTTGCCGTTACTCAATTTCGTTCCACCTTCGTACTTTGTTTTCAACAGAAAATCAATTTTGCCGGTATCAACAAGAAGTATACGAAAACGACGGAATCCAAAAACTTGAAGAGTCCTCACTCGTTGTGTGTTCCCTCCTCAAATGTTAATAAGTGTGTTCGGAATTACTTTTAAAACTCCCAAAAACACTATACTCAATAAACGACATAATTACAATGTTTGATAAAGGTGCATAAAAAACACTTTACACATAAATCAATACACCTTTTAAGTTATTTTAAAAAATTAAAATGTATAACTTTTAGATTTTATTTTTATTTCTACTTTAAATAAAAATAGTGCTTCTATTAAAAGTACAACAAACCCAAACTGTCCCATTATCAATAAAGAAAAATCGAAGATAGCTCATGTTGTTTAACTTCAAGTCTACGTTTAGTTTATGTATTCAAAATCATGATTCAGAATCATTCTCGTTTTACATATATTTTTTGTAAGAAAAAACACTGTAAAGAACTATGAATCAGGATTCAGAATCATTGACAAATATAAGAAACAAACATTCATTTGGTCGTTTGTATCCACAATTATTTTCTTGAAAAAAAATTAGAATAATACGCGTGCAATTTAGACATTATGAAGGAAATATACTCTCTAATTCTCCGCTTTTGCTTATTCTAAAAATGAATTGTAAACAGTCATATCTTCTTCAAAATTATCATGATAAATTAAGATATAACCTAACGAATACTTCTCGAGTCTAAATCTGCCATCCCCAATCCATTCTCCTATCCCCATTTTCCAATCTCAGTGGTTGTCGCTCCACTACTTATTTATGTCATTTAAATTTAAAAATCTACGCACATTAATAAGAACAAAATACAAAAAATACTTGAACAATTCATTAACATCCACCTAAACAAAAAAAAAACAAAAACAAAAAAAAAAAAAAATGAGACAGCAGATCAATCAGTTTGAAAGGTAGAATTATTTCTTTCCTATTTGGAAATGCTGCCCGTTTTCTTCTTTCTTTTTTCTCCCTCGATTGTGGACAATGAGTAAAATCTAGAACTGTGGCGTTTTATTGAAAGGACTTGCGCTTTTTTTTTTTTAATATATTGAAGTTATTATTTTTTTGAAAGGAAAGTATTATTATTCAATGAAAGCACGTCGTAAAACAAATCTAGAACTGTGGGGTAGTACACACGATTTGTAATAGTGCAAACATAGGTTCCAAAATCTCAACTCTACTAAACTACTCAACCAATGATGTCACAATACCTAGACGAATCCATACCTAACGATACCATAATCAGTTGGTAGCACATGCAAAATCCGCACGCGAAAATAATTAAGAAAAACACCGCCACGCAGCATTCAAAATTTATTTACACAATCAACATCCACTAATATTATAGGAAAGATTAATTAAAAAAATCATAAAGCCACAACGGCCTAACCGCAGTATCATATGATATCATTAGGTATGAACTGCAACTCACATAATTGACCAGCCCCTATAAAGATACAGCCACCAGCAGCTAACTGATAACCGCAACATATGTGACTCATATGAACTGCATCAGCTACAAATATTTGCATGAGAATTCATTCCGACCATCTTTAGGCAACCACAGCTACCAGGACGCCTTTGCAGGTCCAAACTTTTAAAAATCAGTGTAGAAAAGAATTTGATCAGATTAGAAGCAAGAAATCCCATTGATGCAAGACTTCGTAAATTATTGAGTTACTATTACTCTTACCAACCAGAATATCATCAAGAAAAATTGGTAAGATATCGCAGACAGCAACCAGCATACAAATTGACACCAACCATCGGAACAGTATAAACAGCAGCAACAGCTAGCTAGTACATCATCTTGTGATTCAGTTCAAGTCACATTCGTTCTTCCCGAACAAAACTATATAAGGCCAGCATATGTACCAATATGAGTAGGTGAACTTAGCATTTTCAACAATAAAATGGAGGATATCATACACAAGCACAAGCACGTCCAAACAAGCACCACACAGAGAAACCTCATCAAGGAGAAAGAGCAAGAATGTAAGGAGAAGCACAAAAACCAAGATATAGTAACAATGTACTATTAAACAAAATACGAATCCTCCTCCTAGGCACGAATTTCCTAATACCCTAGTAAAAGACACTGCAAGAGCTCAAGTTATATCAGAGTACAGAGTCTACCATCAACACAAGAAACAGCTAACGGACTGTCCAACATTGAAATGTTCAACCTTCGACAAAACTGCAGGGCAGCTAAATAACATTCGACATGGCGATAACATGAAACTCGACTATTTTTTTCCCGAGCATGAATGTAGACACGATGCCTCAAGCCAATATAATACTCTCTGATAATGTTGTATGCTGCTCCATCAGTCCTGCACAACAGAAGTCCCGAGATAAATGATTTTGGGGGTGAAAAACATCTTCTTCCTCAAATAAATCTTTGGTCCATAGAATGTGGGAAATTTCCACATGGCACATATGTAAGGACTTACCTCAGCATCAGATCTATGAGGAGAAGCACTTCGAGAATCAGCTCGTTTACCACGCGGTGAAGCATCCTTTGAGGCAGGAGAACGTTCATTAAGGTCGCGTATTTCAGGGTTTTCACCCCTCGAAGGTGTCCTACGAGGAGATGGGCTCCTTCGAGATTTAGGACTACGCCGAACAGGGGAGGCACTGTAGACATACACCCGATTGGACATCAGGTAAGATATAAACACAGCATTTGCTTGAAACAACACGATTGTATAGCAATTTCATACCTCTCATAGGACCGGCTCCGACTGCGCCGCTCATCATCATATCGGCCCCTCCCACGGTCTTTGTGGTAGTCAGGACTTACACTGCGGCTCCTGCTACGATAACGACTCTCTTTCTCACTCCTATGGTACTTGTCACGGTCATATCTGTCTCTACTTCGACTGCGACTTCTTCTCCTATCTCTATCCCTATTCTCATCGCGATACCTGAAAACACTTTTGATCAGTTGCTGCTCATGGTAGTTGACTAATTAATAATTTATAGAAAGTATCACAACTTTTCCAAACGACAAATTACATTAACCATTATAGTTTCTAAGAATTCCATTCCACCAACACATAAGAGATTCTCCATTCTCAAGACTCAATACAAATATTATCAGCTGATCAGCTAACAGCTTTGGTGACTTTCAATTCAACATAAACAGTGTGAAAAAGTACATCACGTGACTTGTCCACATTCCTAATTGACAAGAAAACCATAGAAAGATCCTCACCGTGGACGAGGGCTACGGCTTCTGGACTTGCTCCGGAATTTTGAAGCGGATTCAATTATCCTGCCCTTATGACTGAAAAAAAAAAAAAAAAAAAAAAAAAAAAAAAAAAAAAAAAAAAACAGAAATTAAACCCCCAACAAAAAAGTGAATTA